CCAAAGATGGCGGTTTGGAAGGAAATTTGACTGGGTGCTAACCACAGAGCAACGTCGATTTTCAGACTGATAAGACGTTCAACAAGTCTGAGGCACCGAAACTTATGTGGGTGCACTTCAAGGTGCCGAGCAGCGGACCATAGATTCAACAAAACCAATGAAAAGTGGAGGTAGCTTTAAAGTTGGGAACTTCTTAGCTATGTGAGTAAGACACAACCGTGTGTTACCTAAGCGTTGAGATCGAGCCAACCTGTCAAACCAATATATTCTGCGCAGAAAATTGAGAACATTTCTCTCCTTATTGCCAACCACCAGTGGTTTCAGTAATCACTAAAGCACATCCTAATTGGTGTGGTTTTGATTTCCCAGTTATCATCCATCCTTGCATTCCGTTACCCCCATCTTGTGTCTGAACTCCAAAGCTCTCGACGGCCTGGGTCTGGGAAGCAACATAAGGGTCGGGCGTTCAGTTTACGCGTGTTGGTCTTCGGATTGGTTCACTGGTTTTGCACTTGAGTTGCGAAATGCATGCTTCATTGCGGTGAAAGCTGCCATGTTGGCTGCGGTCATCTCCCTCAACGGAACCTTACTTCTGATGAGTGGAGAATTTGTCATTCCCTATATAACATTCCACTCTACGATCACCCATCCTTGTTTTGAACCCTGAAGTGGTTAATCCGGAATAGTTCTGACCAGGTAGCTTGCTCTGTCTCCGAATCGGATAACCGATGTACATGTTTATCGCGCGATTAGTGTGAAAAACAAGGACATTCAGTCGTCGGGTTTGACCGTTCGAACTATCCTTTAGATTTCAATTTGAATAAGTCTGTAGCCCAAACCTCGGTGTCGGATGCAGTAATGAGGCTACTGCTATCTAGGTCGCGACGATTGCGACCACTGTGCAAACCGTCGATCCATAGCATTTTAAGCTACCGTGCAATGGCATGGAAAAATGAAAAATGTGGACACACGGGAGTCGACGGAACAGGTTATATACCGAGTGGCCTAACACAAAATGATGTATGCCACCTCAAAAACCACTAAGTGATCAGTTCATTTTTTCTGTCATGACCGATTACATTTAGCCACCAAGGAGACAGAACGAAAAAGAATCGCAAATTATCTTAGAGGCAATCATTGCATTACTATGTTCTAATGCAAAACTAACTGACCTTCACGGGTATTCACACTAATCAAAAGCACTCCTAGCCGAATTACTTTTCTGGGGACAGGTTTCTTCAACTGCCGTCTCTTTGTACACTGAATCTCGACAGTCGCTAGGTCATTGGCACTGCCATGCTGTATATCGCAACAAGGTAAACGTATGCTTCATTCTGCACTAGAAAATAATACTTTCTGACGTCAGTCATCGGGAATTAGCCTACTTCTGCAGCTGGTCCAGGCTTTCGTCTTTTGGTCGGTGTTTCGTCCGGTAGTCTAACAAGCGGTCAATGCAGAAGAGAAGACTACATAAATATATTTATCCAGATTACTGCGACGATTACTGTAGCCCCACCAATTTGAAACTGGAATCAAAATAATTCTCAGCGGTGACTTACATTGTATTGGCGGATAATACGCACGGTGTCAGACCCTAATTATTGGTTGCCGCTTGCACGAGAAGCTGTTGCGGGATCCATTTTTCAACCAAAGTGCTGGACTTACAGTAAGATAACACAGCCATTCTGCAACAGAAAGCAGACGTTCTTGCAGTTTTAGCAATTGAAATGTACCACAGCTGACGCGCGTCACTTGTTGGAATGATATTAAGAGACGTTTGATCCACCGAGCTTCAAACGTTGTCACATCTCGACCGCCCCGACTGCTAGTTGTAGGACTGCGGTCAGCAATTAGGGGCGAGGCAGCACTTGGGGTTACCTTGCCCTAAGGCTTAAAGGTTGCAAGCGGGTCAATTGATTCCTATAAGAATCTGGCGTAAATTCTTAACCTAACTGCAGGTTCTATCTGTATTTTTTATACTCAGATTGAAAATCAGTGCAAAGAACATTAACTGCTCCTCTATCTGGATCAGATGGCCTTCTCTAGTATGGCTCATATGAGAAAACGGCCCACGTGCATTTGCGAAAAAGCATTAGTACGAACAATGTCTTCATTAGCTTTCGGTTACTAGCTCATAATATTCATCAAGTCCCGATCACTGTTTTCTATTCACCATGTTGTGGTTCTCATTCTGGCCATCCTACAGGAATTCTTAAGCATCCGCTTTTCTATCCGTAACATACCATTGTTCCATTGTCTTCGGCTAAGAGTTCAAGCTAGAATCTCTCTCCCAGAGCCTAACAAATATTGAAGCCGTACTATAATGTGCCTCTGACCAGCCAGCCTCTCCATCAAACTCACTGAACTACCTCTCCTTAGTTACGTTCTACGTTTCGAGCTAAAATTGATACCAAAATGCAATTTAAGACCGCGGGTTAAGCATGAAGCTCTTCTAGTCAGCAACTGTGAGCATCTTATGATCCAGTAATCTCATCAATAGGTCAAACATAACTGGAAATCACTTTTGTTTCCATAATGGGGGTACCATGACAAAGTGTCGTTCAAGCAGCAATGTAAATATGCCAACAGATCCGGTAACCGCTTAGCGCTTTTTAGAACAAGCACTGCATGTTGTGTCTTCAAACTATGCACTTGGCAACCATGATTCTATGTTTCGTAAAATGAACTCGTCACGCTTGCACAATCGCACTTTCTAGTGCAGGCTGTTTTGTTTTCGCTCCTTGCGATAATAAGAAAAGCTCACAGTTGTAGGTAAGAATCCCAGTAGTTGAATGAGCAGGAGACTCTCGGAAGACAGACGACAGATTTCTCTACGGTGGAATCAAATCTATCAAGATGTGATCTTAGAGGACGCACCCAAAGACAGGCTTGCGGTGTAATATTGTACTCATACTGTATCAAAGCCACCAAAAAACTGTGCTCCTGTGCTGAAACCGATCAGAGCAAGATGGGGAGAGAAAAGAGACTGTCTGATTAGCCACTGCACTTAGCAGACTGCGTGCGCTGACTTCATCTAACTTCACCCGCCTTGGAGTGTGGAGCCGCAGTTCAAATTTATGTGTGATACCGAAGTTATGGCCATCACGGATGACCTGTTCACCAAAGGCAAGATAAACGACTGCTACTGAGTTACCTTTTTATTTCTACTGAGTTGCTCCCGGACCCTGTTGGTTTAAATTTAAGCATTAAGTGGACACAGACATGAACTACTTTGCCCACAATGTTCATCAAGTGAGATTTCAAGGGAAATGTCGAATAAGTCGGCAATCATGCATAACAGCCAGTGCAGTCGGGGTAGAATTTTTCCAAGGGCCATGGCAGGCGTCATGCAGCAGGATCGAGATAGTGGTCACCATCCCACACCAAGGGTCGTCAATGTGATCAACATACTTGGGCAGAGGTAAAAGCAAGAATATTCGTAGAAAATACAAATTTATGTATACGGAAAAATTTCATAGGAACGAATCCACTAATGTTGATACGAAACTTGCATTTGCAGTACATGGATAGGCAGTTCATATACCCATTCAGCGTCTACAGCCCGAGTATCCAGCATCAATAGAGATTAGGCAGTATTAGAAAAGTTAACAACGTCATAATGGACCGCCGACTGCGAGTAGCGCATCAATTGTTGTGGAGGCCCCCTTCGCTGAACTGTGATTCACTGAGAGTGAAGAAGCCGAATTTCCAAACAACATGGTCTACTAGTCTAGCCGTAACTGTTGGATGATAGTAATTTATAACCTCACATTTGGCGGACAGCTACTAGGCGATTGTTGGGGGCGCTTGGCATTCCCCAATCATCCCAACCGTTCAATGGACTACGCGCTGTCCTAGGAAAACAAGAAACTTATTTCCGGTTAATAATGGATAGCTTACACATTTTCGAACAGGCGTATTTCATTAACTATTACACCATCCCGTATATCGAAGTTAATCGACAAGAACGCATCGGCTTCTGATGGACAACGATCGGCCCATCACTGCTTGATTGACTGACACTCATCTTCGAAGGACATATGTTTCAATGGCCTCCGAATGCCATTAGTGCGACAAGAGAATAGTTCGACAGCATAAAGCCAAATATGGACGCTAGATTTTCTTAATGTGCAGCAGATCAGTTGATCCAGATGCCAATTCCTCCATGGTATTAAATGCACAAAAGTGCGAGGAACTAGCTGGTGCTTTGGGACCATTTGCAATGACAAGGAGGGCCGACAGGAGTCGGACTGGTACAAGTGACCTACCTCGTTTGTATCAAGTATAGTGTGAACGGTCGACCGAACATTAGGATGAAGTAAAGAAACATGCGTGATCTACCATCGCTGCCTCTATAAGCTGAAGGATTTATGCGCAGTGGTATGTAGTATGCCATGGAAGCTCTGTCCCTTGGTATTCTAGTTCATTCCCGTAATATTTTAACACTGCCGAATAACGAGTTGTGTCTACCTCGTCATTAACCGGTCGCTCACCTGCAATTATAGCGTCATCCAGTCAACTGCGACTATAAATAAATTAAGCCGTATATTACTCGACAATGTGAGGCACAGTCCAACTGAAGGACCTACTCAACACTGAATGGTCTGATCAATAAATAAATATGGAATACTTCATGATTCTGCGTGTCATCATTGCGCAGGGGTTATGTTAATCTTATCTGTATCGTTCCAAGTTTGGTATGTGTACCGCCGCATCGCGTACTGTGCTACCTTCAGTCTTCGTCGCATATTCTGAAGGACGCATTAGTTCTTTTGGTTTGACGGACAAGTTCAGGGTCAGTTCCTTCGCTGTTGTATTCCGTAAGAGGAATCAATAGCCGATGTAGTGTGTAGAGGTTGTAGAATGCCTTCATCTGTCGCATATCCCAAACAGGCTACTTAAAACACGGGATCCACAATAGCTACTTGCGCTACCATTATCATTTCCGTACATCTCTATTAACTACCCCAACATGGATCGATTCGCAGCACACCAAATGTAAAGATATAGGTTACGTATTTATCATGCGAATGTTGACAGGTTGAAATTGTGATGAAAGTAAATGAACGAAATGAGAACCCGGGAGTGAGAGATAAAACTCGAAGCAGCGTGGGTAATCTGACGGAATAAACCAAGCGAAGTACAAGTATGGCAAAAATGTCATCCAATAATCAAACTGATTGTTCCTTTGATGAACTATGTGCATAACCGTGTGACGCGCTTTTCTAAGGAAGCAGGTCGTATCGATTTTGTTGTTGTAGCAAGGTCAACCGATGTCTCATAACAGCACAGTACAGCTGCAGAGTGGAAGGGTGCATGCGGGTGAAAGCATCGGCTGCATCATCACATTTGTCTTGCACCGGTTTGTGACCAGAATGGGAAGACACCTTCGTGTTCGAAGTACCGAGACATGGATCTGACACGTCACCCCTTACCGACTGTGTTTCCGAGTTGATGTGATCCCATAGCAACCTCTTTATTGCGTGATCCGAGCTACATTCAACGCCGGATCGTGGTGTTGCAGTCGATGTGGATGAATGTAAATCCTGAGGTGAAAAGGTAGGTGCTCCTATCTGAATATTATCTCTGATTGTAGTAGGAAAATGATGCTTAGAGTTAAGGAGTCGTTCACCGGATGAAAGTGATTGTCCCATACTGATCTTCAGAGATTCGTCGGCGGTGACGGTCGTAGTGACGTGAGTTGATGGAGAGATTGTGGTATGTGCTACCATACCAGCTGGTCCGAGGGGAGAATGGGTAAGGTTGGTTGACGAAGTTAGTTCAGTTACACGCGAATCCGATTCTATGGATGAATTTTGTGGCTGTTCGCGAGTAAGGAACATTGGCGCCGATGGACACTGTTCCCTTGAGATGAAACCTCTGTGACGGTAGCCATGCAAATCACTGCGATTTCGTATGTTTCGAATCATGTTAGTTAGGGGATTTTCTGCGCCTGAATTTAGAAGCCTGGAGTGTGTTGGTTGCAATTTCGTCAGGTCATAGTTGAACTCATTCCATCGGTTAGAGAAGCCTTCCAACGGGCATGTGCCCATTGCGGGCGGCGGCCCATGAAGAAGTGCCTCCTCGAGGAAGTTTTCTACGTTCTTTGTTCCACTCAGCTGTGGGAAGAACAGGGACATCAACGAGGCAGAACTGACCTGTCGTAGCTTAGGTAGACGCAGTAACAAGCGGCCGAAACGGAAGGGCTGTTGATGCGCAAAATGATATCTGTCATACTCTTCTAGTGCGGACTGGGCTTTCTCTTGAATACAGTCCACGGTGACCGGATCCAACAAATCAGGAGCTTCTGTGAGTGATTTTGGGAGATAAAGGTTATATATAATTCCATTTTGTATATGTTCAAGTACGTAATCCGTTAACGCGTTATGCAGTTTGGTTTAAGCAAAGGAGGAAATAACTTGTGCATCAAAGTCCTACCTCTAGTGACGCCCACTGCCACCGGATGCCATGTAGTTAACATTTCTTTTACCTCCGCAAATACATGGGGCATCTTGCCGAACAAAAATGGTTCAGCACACCAGTGGTTACTACCTATCAATGACATCTGGTTGCAAACAATGGACGTTTGGTTATGAGACGGGTTAATCTCACCGCATTATCTTCCATGTTCCGAGTGATATTTGCATGAGCTATCCGAAATTGCACTCAGGCTCATCACTCGTACTGTTGTACTCCACCTTATTATGTAATTACACTGCCTCAAACCACATGACAAGCAACTGACCGTTAATAGGGTTGGAGGCCTCAGTTGTCATAAACAGGTGAAAAAATTACCATGGCGCTTAGATTAAGCTCAGCTCACTGCAATACATAGTCCAATCCCAGTCATTGCTCCTATCGGCTGGTAGCGAGGACGGTTAACTCGTGGCGTTCACTCTGTGGGGGTGTGGAAACAGGCGACTAACTTTACAATACATTTAGTTGTTCATGGAGGATTTCGAGCCATAAAAGTTTTGAAACAAATTTATTCACATAGAACACTCCATCCGATTCATTCTTTACCAGGGCCCAATTGAAAAAGTTATCAGTCTCATTTTACTGAGGCGACTTCAACTAAGTTGGTTCAGCAGAATAAACTGCACGACAAAACACAATAACCGTGCACCAGAAATAATAGTTGTTCGCGCAAATTTTATGGTGCTAGTGTTTCCATAGCACTTGCTGTATTGAGACCGTGCGTTATGCTTACTTAAAACTAGACCCGTTTGTCAGGCCTGTGAACGGATGGCTCGTATGGTGAACGAGAGAGCACTACGTCTGCGAACAATCCACAAGCAATAGTTTTAGCCTCTCATACTACGCTTACTTCCTATTGGTTCCCAAATGTGTAGTAAGTTGAATGCTTGAAACATCATCTTTCATCATTTAGACTATCCTGTCTGTGTTTAGAGGAGACATTCTTTAGCAACTTTTAAGGAATATATGTGCACGCGGATGTCTTCTGGGTCCCATGCATGTATGGGCAAACAGACTGCTTACTGCTAATTGGCTCTGAATTCGTCACGCACCTTTGTGTATACTGACTTGACTGCACCATTTCACCGTAACCCAATCCCGTTTCCGGGTAAGCATGTGAGAGAGCAATTGAGTAATTCAGTGGAACCAGTCCCTTAGAATATGGGATTATTGTCTTGCTTTGGTATGTCCACGAATCAGTCACCCACCCACTGCGACCACCAAACGAAGTCTGGATTGGAACATGCTTGCTAAAGCAACTGTTTCACAGTTCACCCCAACGAATACCCCACGTGGAGCGTGATGGCGATGTCTTCAGCAGGCACCAGAACGCAGCTAGCATACTTAACATGGGTCTCAATGGGTGCATCACAGCGGTTGTTAAAATAACGCACTGGTCGCAAGGTTATTCCTCGCCTGTGGCTAATTGGCCAGCTAAATTAACAAGCTGCAACTAACTGGCACAAATCGACGCGAGGCTAAAACATATGACAGTAGTTAACGGGGTGCGTTGCGACGACCGAACAGAACTAACTACAGTCAACTATCTCTGTGATGGAATGCACCAAGGGATAAACGAATTGGCCATTTGTTTCTGCTTTTTTGGATAAAGCTCTCTGAGTTAGCTCACGGAGTTCTTAAGTTAACAGTTTAAATTTGAAAGCATTGCAGGAAGTACAGGCGCAGCGTCACAGAAAAGGAAATCCAGGCTAATCCCAATTGGATAGACTATGAGAACTTCACGCTTCGCGTCTTTTGTAGGCTGAATATCTTTTCGAAGTTCACATGATCACATATGCCCAGTTTCACGTAAGCATGCATCTTATTGGCCAAAATGGCGTGTAGCCCATTTTGCCGTCGCTGGACTTCGTTTTTCAGGAGTTCGGGTCCCACATGTTTGCCAACTTATCGGAAGCTTTGAGCCCTAAACGTCTTAATTTAGAATGAAGGAGGTCATCATAGCACTTGTCTCCGTTGATGTACATCTGTGTTTGTTTAGAAGGTATTCACCGCGCTGTGTTGAGTACATCAGAGCATATTGCTTCGAACTAATGTTGCGCACCGGCTTACGACGACTAACTGGTGGTGATGGTTTTGATGCTTTGTCTGAGACATACGAGCTGAATATCAGTAGAACATGGTGAAAACTTTCAGCTCTAACCACAAACTACTGTGCAGACACGTCAACCGCCTTCGTAAGGTGAGACAAGGGATTCCTCCGCTCGGAACAGCTGAAAGTCCAATAAGAACGGCCACAAAATCAGTAAACGCGTTGGTGACGCAACATGCCCTTACATTTCAGAGGGTATTCCTGCCAGACGATGTTCCAGCTTTGTTACCCCTCCACTGGGACTCGGCTATATCTCTTTTACTACGGAAGCTGTCTTGCAAACGCTGATGTCTTTGCACAACCGCAGCTCCCTGGGTCTCGCTTATATTCATTTAGAAGCGCTGGTGGCAGAATCAAGACAGTTGGCAGAAACTTCGGCTCAGTTCTTTCCACGTTGCCTAAACAAGAATCCATTTCCTGCCATGTGGATGTTTAGCATAACAACTCCGATGCACATAGGCAGAAGTAAGATGGAGCCTTCAAACTACCACCCACTACCTCTTCTCCTTATATGGTCCAAGGTCATTGAATCCATCGTTGCAGCTGTTTTAGTGTGCTATCTGGAAAAGTGCAACATTATTGCGCCCGGACCATAGGGCTTTCGTCGACGTCAAACGTGAGAAATGAATTGCTTTATAGTACGAAGTAGTTGGACCGAGTCAGCTTTCACTGGAGAGGACTATAAAGTGCTCTATTTGGGCTTTTGAAAGCATTTGAGCGCCCAGATCATCGGGAACTCCCTTCCAAACTGCAGTATTACGGGATCGGTGACGCTCACTGGAGCCAGTTCACCAACTTTTTCCTTCATCGACAAGTAATGGTCGGAGTTAGCAGCTCCTTGACTGATCCCATGCAGTTGGAGTGGGGTGTGTCGCACTGCTCTGTTCTAGGGCTAATATTGTTTTTGGCATTCATTAATGATCTTGCACACGGAGTCGCTTCAAACTTCCTACTGTTATTTTGGCGACATCAATCTATGACGCATGATTCAGGCGGAGGCCGATTAGAATTTGTTTCAGTGCGACCTAGACACAGGGCATCAGTGATCAATACAAACTTTGCAGCATTTCGACGTGAGTAAATGCAGTGTAGTTTTAATACACCACAGCAACTACTCATACATGCTCTGGACGCAAGTACTGCAACGACCTTCCGTCGAGCGTGATCTGGGTGTGCTGGTTCAGGATGACTTAGGTTGCTGCAAGTAATCCGAAAGGGCCTCGAAAACTGTTGCGATGGTAGTTCGGACCAATGGACATCTCCGTTTTCCGACAGACGTTCAGTGCCTATTTCCACCCTCATGTTGTATACGCAATACAATTCTTACTTCTATGGTTGGAGCACAAGCTTAATGCACTGGAGCAGCTTCAAAACTCGCGCATCCAAGTATGGCATTAAGATGCGCAATTCCCAATACGAGAGGCGTCTGAAATGATTGGGATATTCAGTGGACGGAATCGCCGATTACTAGGCGACCTGATAATGGCCTATTTGATTCCGTACGACCCGCATCATGTATACCGATCTTTACTGCCATTTAACAGTACTACAAATCTGAGAGGTCAATCATTGGGTCTCGCAGAAGAGCATAGCCTTCTGGAGTGCCGCAGAAATTTATTTTCTATTCGCGTATATCACCCGTGGAATGTTCTCCACGACTCAGTTGTTCCTGCACCGACACTAGCAATAGTTATAGTCAGCTCGATGACACATTCCTCTAGTTACGTTTTGTTACTTAGCACTATATCTCCATCCTACTCCTGACAAATACCAAGGGTTTATTTGCTGTTACCTGTTGGTGCTGTGAAACTGCGCGTAGCGCATGGCTACAGCATAACAATCCATAAGTCGCTATTTTTAACAGTAAAATAACAAACTGCCCTTTTCATAGACGTTTTTGACAATTAAGCACGCCACCCAACGGTACTTGTGAAGCATTGCAGCCATTTTTCATATCTATTCAGTGTTCAATTACAATAGGTTTCCACAGTGTTTCTTTATTCTCAATAGAGTCGGAAACTTGGGTGCTTTTTCTAGTTAATAAACACGCCTCTTGTGAAATCCTCATTCTGTCTCAGAGACACATCGATATGCTAGCAGTGCCCCGACACTCAAGTTAAGGCTATTTGTGTGCTCTTATTTGGTCACCGTATGATACACCATTACATATTGATGGAAGAAAGGAGAATATGTTGAAGTCAGGCAGACTTGGCTATCAACACTGTTCAGAAAATTTCCCATGCAGGTATGAGAAATACTGATAGTGTGTTAATCATGCATTCTTATGAATTCCAATCGCCTTAATCCTAACGGAAGCGTAGTAGACCTCGGTTAAAGAAAAAAACCGCTTTCTACAGTGAAAGCATACTTTTTTGGCCTTATATGGTCGTCATGCTTTCATTGGCCTAGATTGTTGCTTCAATGCCGTGTAGATATGGCCTATAAGCAGATACAATATCAGTCAAACTAACGTAGGTAACCGAAGATTCAAGAAGTTGGCCGTCATTTAGAATCCCGGGGTCCTGTTTTTACTGCCCAGTCATCACACAGAGATGACAATATAGGTAGGAAGGAGTACCCGATAGAGGTCCAATATTTTAATTTATTGGCACCCTTGACGGATAACTTAATCAATGAGCACTCACACTGCTAGCAGTATTGTTGTCCATGAATGAAAACGGCAGACTGGTATGTGCTGCTCACCAGTTATGTGACTCTGCAACACCCCATTGCTTAGTAGCACAGGACACTCACGCAGCTGTTATGTGTTACACGGAACTCTCGGTAATCACGTTAAATCCAAAGGATGCTTGTGTGCTCACCTGAATTAAATAGTACAATTGCCTTCATGCAAGCGAATTCAGCCAAGTCCAAGTGCAGCGCTCGTAACCTGTCAACCTGGTCTCTGAAAGCCGCTTGGTGCGCTGCGTTTGTTTTGCGCATCTCTTGTTGCATCTGCCTATCCTCTGTGCGTTGTCCGAGTAAATTTTCTGGTTTCGTCTCGTCGCACTTGTCCTCGATTTTATTTACATGCATCTGAGGAAAGTGTTGATTTGGAAACGGATTGTTTGACAGTATTGAGTAGAAAGATTGAACAGTTTCTCCTGCATCCAGCTGATGGAGACAGCTGGTCATTCCTTCCGGATTGAGACAGTAGACTTGGGACACGTTTAAGATGAATAACTCAGGCCAAGCATTTCGAAGTAATGAAAGCTGATCTTGCAACTAAACCAAGTTAAAAGAACAGCAAAATATGGGTAAATTATCTTATCCTTGTGATGTAAAACTGGGGTGCATATGATTTCGTAAACCCTTTAGTGGCTTAGTCAGCTAAGTTTTGATGCCAGACCTGCCTAAGCTCCACCTTAAGACGAAACGGGGTGCGCTATAAGTAAGAAACCAGTCAATTTACTTGTTAGCTACGGTGATGATTTGTAGGTGTGAGCCGCAGCTCACATAATCAAAATCGACACTCTGATTCAGGAATGTACGCAGGGTTCACGAAAGCTTGAAGGGAGGAAGTGGGCTCGTTGAGCAAAAATATAACAGTGTTTACCTAAAATAAACCAAGTACCGTATAGTACCGTGTATAAGCCGAGAGTATGACTTTGCAACTTCAAATTTGTCCAAATCGTAAGTCCGTAAATTAGTCAACCCCCCCACCAAACGTAGCAAAAAGAGAAATGAAATTGTTTCTTTCGATTTTGACTTTATCACTGCCTGCTCTCACTTGAGTGTGCTCAAGCGAAAGCTGATCTATTATTTGGAGGGTCAAGTTTGGACTACACGTTGTGTGATTGGATTGCGACGCGCCATCTCAATGTAATGGACTGTGGTTCACATTGAAGTGAACCTTAGTCACGACGATCACTGGGACCGTGACCCGGCCCACCGTGACCCGGTAGCCAAAGGGGTAGAGGTTTCGGCTACTATTCCAATGGTCGCGGGATCGAGGCCTGCTGTCTCCACCTGATGAGATGAAATTACATCGAAACGCGTCGTGGTTGTGCAATGTTTTCGGGTGGGCAACACCCAATTTCCATCTACTTTGAATACGGTCCCAGTGATCGCAGTGACTAAGGTTCATTTCAATGTGAATCACAGTCCATTACATTGAGATTGCGCGTCGCAATCCAATCACACAACGTGTAGTCCAAACTTGACCCTCCAATTAGTCATTTACCGTTGTGACAAAAGCGTTGCCCACCGTAACCCGGTAGCCAAAGGGGTAGTGGTGTGGGGTACTATTCCAATGGTCGCGGGATCGAGGCCTGCTGTCTCCACCTGATGAGATGAAATTACATCGAAACACGTCGTGGTTGTGCAGTGTTTTCGGGTGGGCAACACCCAATTTCCATCTGCACTATTATTATTCACTTCTGGAGACCTAATATATTATGATCGCAATTAATGGGGCTCAGAGCCGTCAGAGGAAAGATTTTAACCGCACTGGACAGTGTATTGATTAGATGTCAAGTCACACGAAACAAGTGTGACGGCCAACCATGTGGGTTAATGTGAAAGGGTATGTCAGACATCACCTCGCATGGCGGGGGCCTCATGCATCTGAATCACAGTGGAGCAGAGGATGAGAGGGAAGTTCACGATCAGTGGGGTGGGACGACGTTGTACTTTTAATGCACCAGATTGACTAGCATAGCATAATATACAAGCGCGGTGATTCCCTAACCAAATTAACGCCAGCGCGGCGTTACACGATCCAGCTGAGAGGGAATGTGCCCACATTTCGTGCGACCTTCCCAAGCTTTGCAAACGCGGAAGTGAAATGTGCAATATACAGAGAATTTTCGATACCAACATACCATAGGCACTTCAAATCCCCGCCTAGGATGCCGTCTGTCACTCGCGAGTGATGCTAAGGCAAGATAGGGGAATAGGTGTGCAGTGAATTACTAGGTGGAGTTTGCATGTGATATTTTAAATTGCGCGTAATCTTTGTATAAGCCGACCCCCCTACTACAGACAACGAAAGTTGTCCACAATTCCTTGGCTTACACACGAGAATATACGGTATTACTCTCCGGTTAGTGATCTCAATAATTCACTACCGTGGCGGGTACAAATGATGTTTACCCCAATCCCATGTGTGGAGCTCCCGAAGTAATAGGTGCGGCATGTTAGACCTCAGCCTTACTGCGTCGGCCGATCTGTGACTACAGGTTATTCAAAGAGAGCGCCACAAGAAGAGTAATTTTGTTGTTTATAAACTATGTTAACGTTAGGTCGAATAGCAATGTCCTACCCAACCATTCTTAACGGATACATGTGAACGGTCTGTGGACAAGGTGCAACCGTTTGCACTAAGGTGACTGGGTTATGCGCTAAGTTGCACTTCGGGATGTTATTGACATGAAAAATGATAATAGCTTAAATATTATAAGTAACTGGCCAACGTGGTTATAACCGAAGACATTACTCGGAGCAACTAAAGCCAGCAAAGCATAATTGTAATTTGGTTTGTGTTTTGATGAGTCAGCAGCAGCAATGAGATTCAGTTGATATAGTAGCATTCTCAACGCATGGAAGCCCTTTGGTCATACAACCTCGTTGCCGGAGAAATAAGCCATCCTTTTAGGGTGAATTTTAACGGGACCAAAATGGGCCATGTATGTCTCCGTCACACGCTATCGCAAAAGCCACCCAGGCGTGCTCCTCAAGCTCTCGTACTTATGCTGACCATTAATGAAGCGTGGAAAAAATCACCCTGGTCCAGTAAAAAGTTAATGAATGTATATGCAGTCGAATGGCACCGCACGAAACGTAGCATGCATGCCGAAGGCGGATATGGCACACCGGTCTGCTCATTCATTTTCCGCCTAACTCAATTAGCTGCGGCAAGGTTGCTCAATCAACCTAAATAGTCATGACTGTTAGGTGAGTTGGCGGCCGGGTCAAAAATAGACGGGAAATCTCCATCTGGTATGAATAAGGGAATATGTATGCTTCAGATACCGAAGCGGAAATGCCTTGTGGGTAAATTTAGCTTAACAAAATTGTGCTTCTATTAGTTCATGGACTCTCACAGATGTACCGCATAGTACCGAATATAAGCCCGTCCATAGATAAGCCGGCAGTATTACTTTTCAACATCAAATTTGTCCAAAGTCGTAGGTCCATGTATTAGCCGACCCCTAACATAGCAGCAAAAGAAAAACGAAACTGTTTCTCCACGATTTCGACGTCATCACTACTTGCTCTCGAGTGTATTCAAGTGAAACCTGCTCCAGTAATGGTCACCTGTGGTGATCGTGATGTTACCATCGCGATTAATGGTACATAGGGCCGTTAGAACAGACTTTCACCGCACCGGATGGTGAATTCCCCAGACGACAAGTCATTTAAAACACATAAGACGGTCGCCAATATACGGTAAGGCGAGAGAAGATCAGACAGGCCGCGTCGCATGGTCGGAGGACTCATGCATATGAACCACAGTAGAGTAGTGGGTGAGGGCAAAGTTCACGGTCAGGGATGTGAGACGACCTTGCGCTTCTAAGGCACCGGATCGCCTGGCATAACATAATGTTCAAGGGCTTTGAATTCACTGTTGTCATCCATCGCGAACGTCAGATGTGCAATATACCGAGTATTTTCGACGCAATAATAACGCGTTCAGTTATAGGCACTTAAAATCCCTGTCTGAAATCCCGTCCGTTAACAGCGGGTGGTGCTAATTGGAGGTAAGAGCAGAGGTATGCAGTGAACTCCTTGGTGGATTTTGCGTGACTTTTCAACTCGCGTCTGACCTTTGTATAAGCCGACCCCCCTCTAGAGAAACAACAAATTGTCCAAAGTTCCTCCGCTTATATTCTGTACTATACGGTACTCAGTGCAGCCAATGCAAAATAGACCCATGTTGTCAAGTGAACTGTGTAGTCATCCGCGTGAATGAAATCAAACTGACATACTGTTTGTTGTCAAAATACTGTCCTGCAAGACAAACAGTTAGCTCGAGTACGTTTACTAACGCTGACTCCCAGTGCAGTTGATCTGATGAAGTAGCCACTGACTGGGTCGCCGACTGGTACTGGTTTGCTTTCGCGTGATAAAATCACGCTAAGCACTCAAGGAGTTGTGTAACCAAATGATTGTCACTCAGGTATACTATGAACTGATGGAGCCACTATTGTGCGCCTGTTCCTCAAGGGGACTTATAGTTTATCCGAGGGCCTAAATCACGCCAACCTGTTCGCTGCTTTCTCCCCATAGTTGTACAGTTTAATACTGTGGCAGGTGGCCCGTGACATCAGACTTTCCAAGGATGGTATCCCGGTAGCGAAGTGGCGTAGCTCGGAAGTTGCTGTATCTAAACCCAAAACACCAAACTTTGTGTGGTGCTTTGATCGACTACTGATGATATAAAGGGATGCAAATGATCATGCAACGGTCTAGAGTTAGAATGCCGGTTGCCATAAAACGCAGAGAATGTATTACTCCACTAGATTTACTATGGGCAGTCTATAGTTTTATATTTGTTAAAAGTCCATTTGTAACGTTTTCACAACTGGATTATACTGAGACATTCAAGCAGGTGATCACATGCAAATATCATTGTAATAACCACACGAATACACTAAATTAACTTGTGTTGAATTACAGGCTCGCTTAGAGGAGTAGTGTACAGTGATCTGTGTCATTCGTCACTTCGCACTGCACCGCTGCAGCTCTATTTTATGGATTCATAAGAAGCAGCAAATGCTTCCTCATGATTGCACAGCGTAATTAACTAACCTTATACTGATATACCATACAAATATTAACACTCAGCTTTCCGTATCAGGAAGACTTACACCATAGATACAATCCCGAAAAGGTACTCTCTAGGTCGGAACATATATCTTACCAGTTCACAGTGTTTGCACAGGCGAATCGTTCCGATCACAGATCCACTCAACTTTTGCCTATGGGTTTGCTTCAGTTGATATATACCTGAATTGTGAAGCGACTTGGAGTACGCACCTGAGTTTGAGTTGTCTGCGGAAGTCTGCTTTCAATCCATTTGTCTGCAGTATATTTTTACACACTATGAGAGAACGCGTAACTACGCTGCGCTATTGTATGGGCTTCCATCTTATTCGTAAACAACAACCTACCCACAGGGCTTCTCGTGACTTGAATTCGCAGATGCCTGATTAAAAAATGCACAGGCATTTGAGACGACTGTTTCAAGTAGCCTTAGCAGCTTTGCTATGGTACGGTAACTA